AACAAATGAAATTTTACAGACCTTAAATATAGAATAAAGATGGAGTCAGCATCAAGAAAAGAAAGGAATAAAACACAAGAAAAGAAATAAAGCATCCACAAAAGAAGAAGAAGAAACGAACCTTGGATAGTAGAACTGTATACGTGTGAAGGCAAATGAGAAATATGATGTCTCACCCATGTGTAAGCCATATGCCATCACGAGAACGTTAGAAAGGATGACTTGGCAAAAAAAACCAGAACTGGCAGTAAAAGGGGAGGGGAAATGCAAGGAAAACGATGTCGTTTACGAGAGCCTCAATCTGAGGCAACGAAGTGTCAATTGGAGGAGGCAATGGAGATAGACATAGCGACAGACATTCTTACTTGATACAATATTTTAACCATAGAAAAAAAAAGCAATTATGAAAGAAAAATAGAAAGTGATAGATAAGCTACCCATAACATAGGGCAGATGAGGTAGTTGTGTAGAAGAACAAGTTTTGCTAAGTTACCATCTCAATTGATAGGGAAGAAAATTCAATCAAGAAATTCAATACAAAAATTTGTAAATCCAAAAGGATCAAAATTAAAGAACTAAAAAACAATTCCAAATTAGATATAATTTCGTAAGATAGAAGAGACGTGATGGGATGACAGGCGATGGAGAAGCACTAGTAAACAACACAAAAACAAAAATACCTAGGAGTATATAAACCTGAAGGCAGACGGTTAGTCTCTTGTCTTACCCAGGTGTAAGACATGTGCCTTCAAGAGGAAGTACGACCGGGTGACTCAGACACAATAAAGGTGCGCTGGCGGTAAATGGTGATGAAAGCGTGGCAAGAAATTTTGTGGAAAACGCCACCGACAATTAGGAAAACCCACCACCAAGTCTTATGCCTCATCGTGAGGTCAGGCTGACCGGAAGCAAGTAGGTAGAAAGCCTTCGTCAACACTAAATGACATCTTTTCTAGAATATCAGTACCAAGTTAGCCTAAAGTAGGGATAAGAGAGTTTAAATAGGCAATCTGGTAGCTTACGGAAGCATAACGAGTGGTCGGTGGGATAGTTATTTGTCGACATAGATAGCATACTCATGAAGAAGAAGGTCTCACATATTGGTGTGTGTGTGTGTGTCTATATATATATATATATATATATATATATATATATATATATATATATATATATATATATATATATAGGTTCAAATGTTTTTGACAACTATTGTGTGCCTGTATGCACCAATAAGAATTCAAGAAATAATTAATTATTAAATAAATCATTTAAGGGTATTATAGTAATCTTGGCATATTTAAATATGATAGATAATTAATATGTTCTTTATTATTCCTTTAAATATGGGATGTAGTCAAAATCTGTTGAAAAAAACCTAGCCGATCATGTCTACAACGATTTATCCTCCCTCTCGTTTTTCCAAGCATTGGTCCTTGGTATTCATCAGGGTTTCGGAGGTTTTGGGCTACCGTAGAAGGGAAGATGTACTAGAGGCTCCATCAGAGGGCAGGAGGGGTTCCGATGGGGCAAAGAAATCAACGATGAAGTCGAATCTTCATAGGCCTTGATCGATGGGAACAGAAGAGAAATAAAGCGAAGGGAAGAGGTATCGATCTCCGATGAGTAACTAGACCGAAGAACAATGGGAGAAGCAGCGGGGTGGGGCTGTTGCTCCTATCGAAGTAGGTCAGGAGGTGGAGAGGATGTGGTGGTGGTCGCTGATTCTTCTTCTCCGTTGAAATCTAGGTATTTTTTATTCATGTCTTCCGATTATGGTTTTGGTTAATTATTTCTATGTTGACAATAAATTTTGCTAGAATTTTGCTGTTTTATTTTGATAAAATTTTAATATTTTATATCTTGATAATGTATTCTAACAGAATTTTGCTGTTGCATTCTAACAGAATTTGTGATAGAAATGGCTTGAAGAATGGCTTGAAGAACTGATGGGAAAGGTTTGAATAATGAATTAAAGAATGATCACACTCAATGTTTAAGAATGTTGTTATTTTTTAAGAATTACACTTGTTATTCTTTCAGAATATTGTTATTATTCAAAGAATCACAATTAATTGTTTGGTATATTATTAGTTCAAGAATCTATTTTGTGTATTCTTTTTCAAAATGTATTTAGTAGTTTATAATTGACATTATGTTATTCTGACAGAATATGTTATAATATAGTTATTTTTCAACATCGGATTCCAAAACTTTGTTATTCAATAATATTCTAGTAGAATAAAATTCTGAAAGAGAATCATTCTAACTAAAAAAATATTCTGACAGAATAAATGGGTTATTTTTACAAATTATGTTAGAATTAAAATTGAATTTATTAAAAAAAATCATATTTTTATAATTAGGAGAATTAATTATCCATAAATATCCGAAAATTTCCTTTTATAATTGTAGTTAATTGTCCAAATTACCCTTTTGCTAAAATTTGTATGATTATATGGTACATCTATCCCAGTATAATATCATACACTCTCAAATCATGTCCATTGATGAATTCCATCCGTTGGTCCAGATTTGTGCATTCTGCCACACAATAGTTAGTAAAAACAAAATAATTAACCTAAGCCTATATATATATATATATATATATATATATATATATATATATATATATATATATATATATATATATATATATATATATATATATATATATATATATATAGGTGAGATCGGTTGAGAACTCATAGTGTCCTGAGAACCCGAAACTAAAAGTGGAACGTTAAATCAAAACTAATTTATTAAGAGCATGATCGTAATCTTATCGATCTCATTTAATGTTTATTTTTTTTGTGCTATTGTAAATATTAATACAAATGTCTAGAAATTACAAAATAAATCAAATATTCGGATTTTTTAAAAAAATAGTATTTTTTTGTTTTTTTTTAAAGTGTAGATTTTTTTAAAATTTTTTTATAGAAAACATGAATTTTGGAAAAAAAAATTGAAAAAATATTTAAAAAAAAAACTGTATTTTTTTAAAAAAACATTTAAAAATCAATAAAAAAAAAACTTGAATATTTAAAAAGTACTATAACTTTTTAACCAAAAAAATCAACATTTTTGGTACATTTATGCATATTTTTACAATTGCATATATACATATTTCATATATTATAACATTTGTAAAGTAATCATAAGAAAACTCATTTTATTTACTAATCTATAAACACAATACAATAAGTATTTTATTCGTTACAATATCAAATATTAAAAAACAAAAAAATACTACAAAATTTCAAAACATTTTCATGTCTTCATGTCAATATTTCCATATTTTCTTCAATTTATTATTTTCACCTCTTTAATATTCACCATAATTTCTTTCAAATCTACAAGAAAAATAAAAAGAAATTGATTGATACAAAAACACTCACAAAAATACATATATGATTTACATGTGAATCACATTTAATTCATATGTGATTTACATATGAATCACATGTAATTCATATGTGAATTACCTGCGAATCACATGTAATTCATATGTGAATTACATGCGAATCATATGTAATTCATATATGAATTATATGTGATTCATATGTGAATAACACGTGATTTACATGTGAATCACATGAAAATGATATGTGAATACCATGTGATTTACATGTAAATCACATGTAATTCATATTTGAATTACATGTGATTTATATGTGTATCACATGTGATTTTGAAACCACTCTGTATTGATTAATGATATAATTATATAATCTAGATTTGAAAAACAAACAAAAGACTGTATATAGTTTTCTCAAGAACACTTTTGAGTTTTGACTCAATTTGAAGATTGTCTGTAGATTGATATAAGCATCTTATACATATTTTCTCCTAGGGTTCCTAAGCTAGAATCAGCTTATGCTTTAACTGTAACACAAGTCTTAAGAAGCATTCTCCATAGCTAATACTCGGAAAGGGGACATGGCCATAATTTCTTATAATAGATGTGAAGCATCAAACACCTAACTAAAGCATACCAGGAGTATCTTCTTGCCAAATTAAACACTCATATAAGCAAAAAAAATATATGTGGGGGGCAACAAGTAATCAATATTTGTTGCCACACTACTCCAAACTTCCCATTTATCACTATGGATTAGGCTTTACGCAAGGGGATAGGAGGAGAGGTGTGGAGACATACACACCTAGAGGGATTCTACCATTTTCATATGAATTAAAGATCTATCTATAAAAAAGCGGACATCAAAAAAATAAATTTTGTGTATGTGGCTCTTTAATTATATATAATTAAAAGAAGCCATAACCCTTCAGCCGATTCATTAAGGTAAACATATGAAGCCTACTCCCAGAATAATCTATAAGAAACTCTTATATATTTGTATTAAATAAGTTTGCATTCCTCCAGTAATAGCTATCAGATTGTAGCAGGTCCACCTAGTACTCTTCCAATGAATATCAAGTTACAAATGTGTGAGCTCCATAGGCATCAGCAGACTTTTTTGAAGTTATTTCATGATATGTGTAAACTAAAGTCTCATTCTCATCTACTACTATATTTATTACTACTTTTTATGCTCAGCATACTTTTTTAGAGTTGTTTCATGATATGTGTATCTATGTGGTATGCCCTCTGAATAAAAAAATATAAATTTATTAGATGCAGGAAGATGGATCAAGACAAGGGGCATGATCCATTCTCATATAGACTTTTCTGAAAAAACAAACTGATATGACGTGGTTTTAATTATCTTCTTAGGTATGAGAAATTATTATAGCCAAAATAGTGGATGATGCAATTTTATGCATTTCTTATCTCATAACGCTAAACAAAATCCAATAAACTCTAAATAGTCTCTAATTACAAATGATAAAAAAAATTCTACTGGTCATCAAGATATGTTTCTTACAAAAATGGAACAATTGTCTCTAATTACAAATGATAAAAAAAAAAAAAAAAAAAAAAAAAAAAAAAAATTCTACTGGTCATTTAACTACTCATGATAACTAAGAATACTGTATACAAGTCATAATGCGCCCAAACGAGAAGCCAAATCGGTGAACATATATTCACTACATGGAATAGTGAGGCCACCCATTGGATGACTATACCCAAATTCTTCCTCAGCCTGATCAAGCAGTTGTTGAAAAGTAGGTTTCATTAACAACCATACGGGAACTACAAATCTCTTCTTCTCTTGTTCACCAACATAAACCGCTAAACAGCCTTTCGGGATATCCATAGATTTTGTTGTCCTACTTCCATTTGAGAATGACCGTTTAAGAATTTGCTTTGCTTGAGTGATGCGGGGCATAAGAATGGCCATTTTATAAGGAGGGTATTGTCCGTTAACTTCAAAAGGCTTACGGTGAATGAAAATTCTCAAAGCACGATTTCTTGGGGAAAAGCTGTGAATCTGTGGTTGTGTTATTCGCCTTGAATGGTTTATATATGGTGACATATGGTGGAAATGGGATCAATAGCACATGCCTTTGTCTTTCCTGTTATAAAAAGGAAAAAAAAATACATAAATAATTTGTGAATCTAAAGGCCAATATAGCATCAAAAATATTTCAAGGATTGGTTGGTCCATCAAAATAAAAAAACCATGTGATGATGCCTATATACAAAGGTTTCCTAATCAATGCTATGGATTATATCCATATACATAATACATCATATATAGGCCACACCTCTTGTAAGAAAACCCCAGTGATTTTATATGGATTTGTTAGGAAACAAAGCCACACTCCCATAATATCACACGGGCCCATGATGTTTGTAGACTTCTTCACCACTTACCTTCTGTAGAGAATACCGGCCATATATACATGTTATCCTCTATGTTTAATTCTTTTGGGTATACAAGTAAATGTCAAAGACATTATACTATCTCTGAATATATGGTTGTGATATATATGTTAGATCATATTTTCTTGCAAGTTGAGAAACACAGCACATGATGCTTCCTTTCTGTCACATTGTCTCCATTTGTAATTTAATTACCTTTTTATCATCTGTTGTATACTTGGAGCTTCAATAAACCATTATATAATGAATCTGATAGGCAAAGAACCAGCACATGCACTTTCCTTGTAACTCCTCCACAAGATCTTTTAACAAAGCTACTCTCACATTGTTTTACTTCCTTCAGAAACCTTCAGAAAAATGGGTATTCGTATGCCTCGGATCATTCAAGCGAAACAAATTCTTCAAAGGTCTTTGTCAAATGGAACTCGCACATCAACAATGGATCTACCAAAAGGCTATTTTGCAGTTTATGTTGGGGAGCGAGAGCAAGAAAAGAAGCGCTTTGTGGTTCCTGTGTCGTTGTTAAGCAAACCTTCATTTCAAGACTTATTACATCAGGCAGAGGAAGAGTATGGATATGACCATCCGATGGGTGGCCTTACAATCCCATGTAGCGAGCACATATTCTTTGATCTCGCAACTAGTCTGGGCGCATTATGAATTCAGTTTATATCCTTGAAGGTGTAAATAGTTTTTTTGTAAAGTACTGATCACTGACCATTTTGCAACATGTGATACTCATCAGTTGTCCAGTTATACAGGTTGTTTTGAAACTCGAATTCGGACTTCATTCGAATCCACTATGTGTTGGTTAATGATATAATCTAGACTCGAATGACAAACAAAATTCATTATAGATAGTTTTCTCAAGAAAAGATTTGACTCAATTGAAGATTGTATGTAGAATGATATAAGCATCGTGTACATATTTTCTCCTTGGGTTCCTAAGCTAGAATCAGCTTATACTTTGACCGATTTGAGCAATTCAAAGTTCAAGCATTACTGTTATTCTCTCTTTCCTGTTCCTAAAACTCAGAGATCATTACCAGGAATAAAACATAATATTTGTACCACTCTTGTTTAAACATTGTTATAAGAGTATACATATGTTATAAGAAGTCTTAAGAAGCATTCTACAGAGCTAATACTCGGAAAGGGGAGATGCCCATAATATCTTATAGTAGATTTGAAGCATCAAACACCTAACTAAAGCTTACCAGGAGTATCTTCTTGCCAAATTAAACTCTCATGTAAGCAAAAAACTCCAAGTGGGGGGCAACAAGTAATCAATATTTGTTGCCACACTACTCCAAACTTCCCATCTACCATTTTCATATGAATTAAAGATCTATCTATAAAAAAGCGGACATCATCAAAATAAATTTTGTGTATATAGCTCTTTAATTTTATATGATTAAAACAAGCCATAACCCTTCATCCGATTCATTAAGGTAGCCATGTGAAGCCTACTGCCAGAATAATCTATAAGAAACTCTTGTATATTTGTATTAAATAAGTTTTACATTCCTCCAGTAATAGCTATCAGATTGTAGCAGGTCCTCTAGTTCTCTTCCAATGAATATCAAGTTACAAATGTGTGAGCTCCATAGGCTTCATCATACTTTTTTGAAGTTATTTCATGATATGTGTAAACTAAAGTCTCATTCTTATTTACTACTATATTTATTACTTTTTATGCTCAGCATACTTTTTTAGAGTTGTTTCATGATATGTGTATCTACGTGGTATGCCCTCTGAATAAAAAAATATAAATTTATTACATGCAGGAAGATGGATCGCAACAAAGCTCATGATCCGTTCTCATATACACTTTTCTTAATTCATTTTATCATTTTGCATACCGGTTTCTGAAAAAAGAAACTGATATGATATGATTTTATCTTCTTAGGGACGCACATCAAGGTATGAGAAATTATTATAGCCAAAATAGTGCATGATGCAATTTTCTGCATTTCTTATCTCATAACACTAAGCGAAATCCAATAAATTCTATATAGTTTTGGTTCAACTTTCCTACAAAAATGGGACATAATTACAAATGATAAAAAAAAATTCTACTGGTCAGTCAACTACTCGTGATAACTAAGAATGTTGTATACAAGTAAGTCATAATGCGCCCAAACGAGAAGCTAAATCGGTGAACGTACATTCACTACATGGAATAGTGAGGCCACCCATTGGATGACTATACCCAAATTCTTCCTCAGCTTGATCAAGCAGTTGTTGAAAAATAGGTTTCATTAACAACGATACGGGAACTACAAATCTCTTCTTCTCTTGCTCACCAACATAAACCGCTAAACAGCCTTTCGGGATATCCATAGATTTTGTTGTCCTACTTCCATTTGAGAATGACCGTTTAAGAATTTGCTTTGCTTGAGTGATGCGGGGCATAAGAATGGCCATTTTATAAGGAGGGTATTGTCTCTTAACTTCAAAAGGCTTACGGTGAATGAAAATTCTCAAAGCACGACTTCTTGTGGAAAGGCTGTGAATCTGTGGTTGTGTTATTCATCTTGAATGGTTTATATATCCATATGGTATATGGAAAACTAGATTGCACATGGTGACATATGCTGGAAATGGGATCAGTAGCACATGCCTTTGTCTTTCCTGTTATAAAAAGGAAAAAAAAAAATACATAATTAATTTATGAATCTAAATATTTCAAGGATTGGTTGGTCCATCCAAATAAAAAAAAATCATGTGATGATGCCTATATACAAAGGTTTCCTAATCAATGCGTTGAATTATATCCATATACATATTAATACATCATAGGCCACACCTGTTGTAAGAAAACCCCAGTGATTTTATATGGGTTTGTTATGAAACAAGAGCCACACTCCCATTAATATCACATGGGCCCATGATGTTTGTAGAGTTCTTCACCACTTACCTTCTATAGAGAATACTGGCCATACATGTTTTCCTCCATGATTAATTCTTTTGGGTATACAAGTAAATGTCAAAGACATTATACTATCTCTGAATATATGGTTGTGATATGTAAGATCATACTTTCTTGCAAGTTGAGAAACAGAGCACATGATATTGCCTTTTTGTCACAACGTCCCTATCTGTAATTTAATTGCTTTCTTATCAACTATAGTACATTAATTTGAAGCTTCAATAAACCATTATATAAAGCATGTGATAGGCAAAGCACCAGCACACTTTCCTTTGTAACTCCTCCGCAACATCTTTTAACAAAGAAAAGACTCTCACATTGTTTTACTTCCTTCAGCAACCTTCAGAAAAATGGGTATTCGTATGCCTCGGATCATTCAAGCGAAACAAATTCTTCAAAGGTCTTTGTCAAATGGAACTCGCACATCAACAATGGATCTACCAAAAGGCTATTTTGCAGTTTATGTTGGGGAGCAAGAGCAAGAAAAGAAGCGCTTTGTGGTTCCTGTGTCGTTGTTAAGCCAACCTTCATTTCAAGACTTATTACATCAGGCAGAGGAAGAGTACGGATATGACCATCCAATGGGTGGCCTCACAATCCCATGTAGCCAGCACATATTCTATGATCTCGCAACTAGTCTGGGCGCATTATGAATTCAATTTATTGAGTTGAAGTTGTAAATAGTTTTTTTGTAAAGTAATGATCACTACCTTTTTGCAAGTTGTTTTGGCCAAGTTGTTTACTATGTGTTGGTTAATGATATAATCTAGAATTGAATGACAAACAAAATTCATTGTAAATAGTTTTCTCATGAAAAGTTGACTCAATTTGAAGATTCTCTGTAGACTGATATGAGCAATTCAAAGATCAATCATTACTGTTATTCTTTCTTTCCTGTTCCTAAAACCCAGAGAGCAGAACCAGGAGTAAAACATAATATTTGTACCACTCTTGTTGCATGTTTGGTAGTTAATATTTTTATCTAGAAATTATTGTTATTCTTTTTATAGGACTCGGTGTTTGTCCTTAACAAGATCATTGGGTATATATATGAAAAATCAAAAAACTATGTATATACATGTTTAGAAATCGATCAGAGAACTCAATTGATCAGGACCTATTTCTGTTGAAGTCAGACTAAGGACTACTGCATGCTTTCTTAATGGTTAATATTTGGTACCATAACCTGAATGGTTGCAACTATAGTATTAAATACAGTTTCGTTTTCTTTGGTATATATTCTGCTTACTGTTGTTAATTTAATGCTTATCAGAGTGTCTGCTACTAACATGTGTATGTATATGGCAAACAGTATTACCATATATCACAGATAGAATTGCTACTTGAGAATGTTTTCTCCACAGAATTGACGACCAACATTATTTCGTTCTATATGTTTATATATTGGTTAGTGTCAGAAAAAGACAAAAAAAAACAAGAAAAGTTATCTACGGAGTGATTTTATCAGTTATGGACTGTGAGAAATTCACATTGAGGAAAATAGTAAACGCAAAAAGTAGTTTTTTTATTTATGTCCTATCTCATAACAATAAACAAAATACAATGAACTCTATATTAATAATCCTTGTCCCAATTTCATACAAATGGGACAATTATCTCTATTTACAACTGATACAAGATCGATCCTAGTGGTTAGTTTGTTATAATACCAGATTCACTACATTGATTGTGAGGCCACCCATTGGGTAAACATACCCAAATTCTTCCTCTTCCCGATCTAGTAATTCTTCATAAACTGTTAAATAGGCTCTCGGGATATCCATATATTTTATTGTGATGCTTTCATTTGATGATGATCATCGCAGAATTTGTTTTGCTTTTGTGATCTGGGGCATAAGTATGGTCATTTTTCAAGGAATGCAATTCTGTTCACTTCAAAAGGCAAATGATAAATGAAAATTTTCAAAGCACGACTTCACGATGAAATGTTTGAAAGAACTTGTGGTTGTGCTATTTATATTAATTTGTTTATATATACAAATAATATAGGATTTTAAATGAGGGATAGCGACATTCTGTGGAAGAAAAAGCTATGTCACATGCTTTGGTCTTCCAGTGACGTTTAACAAGGACCAAAACACATAATTCATTTATAAATTAAAACCCATCAGATTTTAGCCACACTTTTGTGTTTGTTAGGAAGCATATACAGCCACATCCCATTAATATCGCATGGGACCATGATGTGTGTACTATTCTTCACCGCTTACTTTGTATAGAATTAGGGCCATGCATGTTCTCTTCTATCTTGAATTATTTTTTTGTATACAAGCACCGGTTTAAGTTCATTTAATTGTATCTGAGTTTATGGTTGTGATATGATACCTTCTTGCAAGTTGAAACACACAACACATGATATTACCTTTCTGTAACAATGTCTCTATCTGCCATTTAATTTATTTCCCTTTTTTTTATTTCCTTTATTTTAAATTTGAAGCATCAATGAACCACTATATAAAGCATGTCAGAAAGACAAAGCACCAACATAATTTCATCTCTAACTCATCCACAAAACCTTTCACTTAGAAAATACTCTCACATTATTTTACTCCCTTCACCGACCTTCAGAAAAATGGGTATTCATATGCCTCGGATCATTCAAGCAAAACAAATTTTCCAACGGCCTTTGTCAAATCGAACCCACACAGCAACAATGGATCTACCCAAAGGGTATTTGGCAGTCTATGTTGGAGAGCAAGAAAAGAAGCGCTTTGTGATTCCTGTGTCCTTCTTAAGCCAACCTTCATTTCAAGACTTATTATGTCAGGCTGAAGAAGAGTTTGGTTATGACCATCCAATGGGTGGCCTCACAATCCGGTGTAGTGAGCACACATTCTTTGATCTCACAAGTCGTTTGGGCACATGTTGAATTCAAGTTATAGATAATTTTATTTGCCAACACAATTTTGTAAAGTACTGACCGATCACTACCTTTTGCAACATGTGGGGATAGGTCACTTGTCCATGTTGTTTTATAACAGTGTTAGAAATTGTTTTGAATCTATTGTATATTTTTTGATGTTATAATCATACACTTGAATGACAAACAAAGTTCTCTTTCAATAGTTTCCATGACAATGGTTTTCATTCAATCTGATGTATTTCCTTAATTTTATTAAGCGGTGGTGTTTTGGGTTTTTTCATTAGGTCACGTGTTCTTTGATTATCTTATAGTATTTCATGATGAATTCAACTGTAGTTTTCTTAAACAGTGTTGAACCTAACAAATATGTATGCAATCACTCAATGACCAAATGTACTTGATGTGACACTACAAGAATAATCGGCATTAGCGGCGACAGCCACCTTTAGCAGCGACACATAATTTTCGTGTTATGTGTCGCCGCTAAAGGTGGCTGTCGCCGCTAAAAGTGTCGCCGCTAATGCCCATCGACCCCGATCCGCGTCGAAATATGAGGTGAAACCTTAACCATTGATTTTGTCCCTAATCTAACGACTGAAAATCGATAATATACATACCAATAGCGGCGACACCAATAGCGGCGACGGTGTCGCCGCTAATACTCGAAAATTTTGACCGCCAAAGTTTTCCCCCAAAGATGTCGCGGATAATAGTCAAAAAATTTGACCATCAAAATTCCCCCCAAAGGTGTCGCCGCTAATACTCTATATGTCGCCGCTAATACTCGAAAATTTTGACCGCCAAAGTTTTCCCCCCAAAGTTGTCGCGGATAATAGTCAAAAAATTTGACCATCAAAATTCCCCCCAAAGGTGTCGCCGCTTATACTCTATATGTCGCCGCTAATACTCAACGTGTCGCCGCTAAAAGGCGTCGCCGCTAATGCCCTTCCCAGATATAACCCCCTTCAGCTCCTTCTTCCTCCTTCAACTCCTTCTTCCTCTATCAGCTCCTTCTTCCCCCTTCTCGTTTCTATGAACTCATTTATATGTAGAATTTGTCTTTTGTATATGTATGTATTTGTGTATTAGTATACATATATATATATATATATATATATATATATATATGAGTGTTTTTATATGTGTATTATGTATGTATTTGTGTATTAGTATGTGTATCATGTATGTATATGTGTTTTTGTATATGTATGTATATGCTTTTGTATGTGTATTGTGTATGTATGGATGTGTTTTTGGTTATATTTTTTATAAAGTTTTTATAATTTATAACAATTTTTATAATTTTATAAGGTTTGTTTTGTATATGGAAAGAATGTTTAAAAAAAACTAAAAAAAAGAGAAAACTACAATTAGCGGCGACACTTTTAGTGGCGACATGGTATTAGCGGCGACGGTAAGCATTAGCAGCGACAAATTGGGTATTAGCGACGAACCAACAGCGGCGACCCTTTAGCGGCGACGTGTCGCCGCTAAAGGTATTAGCGGCGACAATCGGGACCTTTAGCGGCGACGCCTGTCGTCACTAATAGTCATTATTCTTGTAGTGTGAATTGGCAAAATCGTAAGTGAAATACCTGTAATCGATTACACTGAACCCTAATTAAGAATATTTGCAACTGAAAATAATAACATTGTCACAAGAAATTATCATGTACATTTCTTACAACTTTAATTAAGAAAAAAAAAACAAAGGTGGGGTAAATGTAGTCATCCAAGCTTTTTATATTTGTTCCAACTCCATAGTTCATATCCATTTCAAAGGGCATTGGGCAGGTGTTTAAGGAGTAGTTGAACTTGATCATTTCAAGTGTTGAAGCAATGTCCCACTCTCGGTAAAAATACACATGACACCAGTATTATTTAGAGAGTTGATTTATTGGCTTGTATATGGTGTTAAGCTGTGTGACCTTTTCTGGTGGGAAGCTTTTATGGGGAAAATAAATCACCTAATTTGGTGTTTTGTCTAATCAAAGTTCCATATTCGGGTGATGCGCCTATCTTGGCGAGGAGGTGTTCAAATACATTAGGGTTTTTGTTATGAAGGCTAATGTGGATTTTGACCTGAACTTAGACTCTACCGCCTTCATCGAGCCTTCATTCCATGCTCGTATCCATCACCTTCATCTCTCCCAAATCCAAAGAGCATGCTTGCTTAAGCATGGAGTGTGAACTCATTATCTTCGTCCTAAACCTTCCATTTCTATCCACCATTGTCCAAATGAGAAGTAAGAGTTGATGGCATATTTGAAATATCTGGTTGGATTACAAGCATAAAATGGCTTGATTAATTTTATTTGTATGCTCTTTATTTATAAATGTATATGGTTGTAACTACTCAATTTTGGAAGTATATCATGTAAGAAACTATAACAAGGATAAACGAAAACGAAACAGAAAATAAAAAAATAATAATAATAAAAAAAAAAGTTGAGGCCTGTGTTTGACACAATTTCCTTAAAATAAATTCGACTCACTTTGGGTGTTTGTTTCCCAACATACAACAGCAAGATCGGTTCTTCAAGACCGTTGAACTCAATAAGGTCTGTATATTATCTTGATACATGCTAGAAAATGATGTGTTAGAAAGGGAGAAGAGTAGAGAGTTTTTCCGTGTCCTTTACCACGTAGAAGATCACTATCTTTATAGTGCAAACTTGTAACTCTCACCATAATTATAATTTATGGAGATTACAAAACAACACCTTAATTGTTGAATTAAAATGAATATTAAACACAAAATTTATAATG